GAGTCAGACAACATGCCTATATCCAACTCAGCAATAGACCCAATGGGCCCCAACCCCGCATCTTGGCCCACCACCAAGGCCATTCCCGGCAGGGAATATAACCCTAGGGTTTCGCTCATCGAAGATTGCACCGCCGCCCCACCAACCATGGCCGGCGGCAAAGAACCAGATCTCAGCGCCCCAGTCTGCCGTCCCAATAGCAGATCAGGCGAGGAGGGCGAGACCACAACCAGGGAGGATGGCGGCGAGCCTGACGAAACCGAATCCTAATCAGAAAGGAGGGGAGAGTGATCCGGCGGGCACTTGCACCGACCAGATCTATGGTCGCGCCGCTGCACAACACACCACCCAACATCCGCCGCCGACGAGGCCACCACGTGGCCACGACCACCCGGTGCAAACTTCCTTACCTTAGCCGGCACCCGTGGGCAAGAAGGCGGAGGAGGAGCAACTATGGGGACATCGTCATCCTCCGACTCCGAGACGTAGCCATCAAACGCCCAGAACCGATTGGCCAAAGAGACGAGGTCAAGGGGCGGAGAGGACGGGCAGAAGGGGGCGGACAAAGATGAGGGGGAAGGGGGCGAAGGACCAACTGGGGGGACGACGAGAAGGAAGGGGAGAGCACATGGCATCGACCGCCGTTGCGGGCACCAGATGGGAGGGGGGGAGGTGAGAGAGCCATCCGAACCGTCAAACCCTCTCCTTCGCATGCGTCTTGTCCATGGACAAAATAATTAACGACATAATGTTTGTTTTATTTTCTCACCCCTCTCTCTGCTAACCACCGCGCATCCTTCTAAGCATGAGCCATTTCTTTCATACCCAAAAGGGTTGTTACCCCACTTTATATATAAAGCAACCATCACAAGCGCTTCCTTTTCTATTATAACGTCAACCGTGAATGACTATTTTTTGTCAAGTTTGAGTTGCTTACCACGTGTGCCACATGGTACGTACTATTTCATCCTGCAACCACCAGAACCATGAACATGAGTAGTTGACTGCCTAATTACTACTTCCTTCGTCTCATAATATAAGACGTTAATTAATACTGGATGTAATAACATCATATATTATGGGACAGTGGGAGTACATGTTCATTGATTAGCAGGGCCTGAAGTGCATGATAGATAGTTGTTACTTCTTGAGATTATTACAATAGGTAACGCCTACAAGTAGTGCATATATAGTGGAGCTCGTGGGTAACGCCCCTCAGGAATCTCCAATCTACCATGTCATAAGCCTTGGCAAGATCTAGTTTCTAAGCACTATGAATGTCATCGTTGTTTCTGCTATGTTAAATTTTATGGAAACATTCGAAAGAATGATGGCATTGTTCGTTATCATCCTTCCTGGGATGAATGAATTTTGAGTCTCCGAGATGATCTCATCAAGTAAAGGTCGAAGTCGGTGACAAGGCATTTTTACACAACCTTGTAGATCACATAGCAAGGATAGACGATCAAGGGTTTTACCTTTGGGGTATGAAAACAATGACCATGTCATTGATTCCTTCTGACATTACTCCGACTTAAAAAAATCAACACTACCCTCACCATATCCTCTTTGAGAACCTCCCAATTCTTCTAAAAGAATCAAGATGGGAATCCATCCAGACTAGGAGCTTTAAGGGGACGGGTTTGAAAAAGAGAATCACTCACCTTTTTAGCGGTGAAAGGTTATGTGAATAGTACACTCATATCCTCATTCACTTTCTCGGCCATAAGCACAACTAACACATGAGGCACCACTTCGTCATCTTTCCGGTACAAAATCTTGAAAAAACATGTAGCAAGATGTTGTATTTCCTTCTGTTCCCACATACCACTATCATCCATCAATCGTGTAATAGATTTTCTTCCTTTTCCTCCATGTGACCTTGCGGTGGAAATACTTTGTGATTCAAAATTCTTCCTTCAGCTAGGTGGCCCTCAACCGCTGCATCCACTTGATCTCCTCCCTAAACTTCTAAACTGTCTGATGTCGCTCCTAAGATCTGTGCAACCCGTTCGTTTTTTTTGCCTAGCCTGTTTGTTTGCCTTGTCTTTTCCTGCCTTGGGCTATTTTCTGTTCTTCTGTGTTTTTAAGTTCTAGGCCACTGTCTTTTGGGCTTTGTTTCTTTTTTCATGCATAGACAAAAATGAAGAATCCTATTTGCAGCCTTCTTTTCCCTTTTCCTTTTTTGTTTCCTTTTTTGTTTTTTCGTAAATTCATTTTTTAAATATGGTTAGAATTTAAAAATTGTTATTTTCATATAATGTTCAAAAATCCAAATTTCATTCACGATTTCAAACATTGTTCATGTTTTCCAAAAAACATTCACATTACAAAAAAGTTCAAAATCCAAATTTTAAAAATATTTGAAATTTTTTAAAAATCAAGTTTTCAGGAACCGTCCATGTTTCAGAAAAGGTTCACCATATTGAAGAAAAATGTTCACTGTACATTGGAAATATGTGTACTGTGTATAAGAAAATGTTCATCATGTATAAATTTTTCCAGAGTGCATTTGAAAAACAATTCACCGTATATTTAAAAAAATGTTCAGTGTGTACAAAATAATGTTCACCTTGTACTTAGAAAATGTTCGGTGTGTATTTTACATTCATTTTTCTAAAAAAAAATCATAGTTCAAAAACATTGTTAAGAATTCCAAATTTGTCCACAATTTAAAAAAGCATTCACATTTTTTTAAAAACAATTGCTCATGTTTTCATTTTTTCACTTTTCCATAAATTGTTCACATTTTTTTAATATCCAAATTTTGAAATTTGTTCATGACTTTTAAACATTGTATTTAAAAAAAATGTTTCATAGATTTGTCATTTTTCATGACATTCCCGCATTCACTCGATGCCCGTGAATTGGGTTGGCCTGGTTGCATGCCCTTTTAACGAAAGCTCGACTATTGCACGTGGGCGTCCAATAGGAGCTCTCGACATAAACGACCTTGGTGACAAGAAGTTGCCGGTTTTTTAGATCAATAGTAATTTATTTCATTGGGGTAGAGCTACAATTCTTCGATAAGAGTTCCTCATGGGGACCTCAACCGAGCCACACAGCCGTGGCTCACTCAAAGCGAATATACCATGTGAGGCAATCCGTAGCACTATTCCGAGATCTATGTAATTTCTGTGGAATGAACACTCTATCGATCATTAAAGACTCAATCTCAGCTTACCAAAGGCCGAATGATCTAATCTAGAACCAGATGGGCAAGACAAAGCAGTCGATGAGTCAGACTGCACCAAGACCGGAAGCTCCGTATGTTGTCGAGCAAGAGCCATACGGATCATCAAAGTGTGGATTTCCGCCTCAAGAGCATCATTGTAGTTAAATAAGTAGTGGTATGCCGGAAAAATAACCGAGCCATCATGCCTTTGTAGAATCATCCTGGCCGTCAGAGTGCCGTTACACCACTAGTGGGTGCAGGCCATGGAAGAACTCGGGCCAGCGGACTCAGCTTAGGACCCTCTCCATAGTCCAAGACCACCATTTTACCTTTTAGCATCTCTTCTGTAGAGTATTTTTTGGCTGATTGCACCGAATTCATGTAACTAATAAGGAAGTCAGACGATGCCGCAACTGGCGTGGCCTCCTTCCCATGAGTAATGTCGCAACAGACTTGCCAAATTCTCCAAATCATCATGATAATCAAAATATGCACTGTCGGAATAATTTGCAAGAAGCAGTAGCAGCTAGTCCTTCCCGGAATAAATCACTAGTTCCTTTCGTGGTACAGGCCACACCAAAGATCAGCGGCATGCATGCATGCATGCAAAAAGGACATGATGTGAGCCCTCCTCTTCCCTTCCGCATATAGGGCATATAGTTGGTGTGGGTATATGGTGATGCACTTCATTTATTTCGTCGGTAGCGCTGCCACCACCACTTTCCACGCCAAAATCTTGATTTTCTGTGAAACACTTGCTTGCGAAATAAGTTTTCATAGCAGTCTCTCAGTCTCTCTCCCTCCGGGTGCACAGACCCTCATCAGGTTGTTTTGTGGTTTTGTGCTTTTCTTTCTTGGGTGGGTGTCACATGACACTTGACACTTGCTTGTATGTATGGTGTAGATCTGTCATTTTTCTAATTTTAATTTCGATTTAATGTAGATCTGTCATTGTGGCATACTCAAGAATCAACAACCCTAGTAATGTTTCATAGATATTTTTTTTTGCGAAAATAGTTTCGTAGGTAAATGTAGTTGCATTTTTTTTATTTCTTCCCAAAAGTAGAACGTCTTTTGTGGGTACTAGTTCGTCTAAAAAAACATGGGTCAGTTGCACATCCATCCTTTGACATTATTTTGACAAAAAGACGGCTCTAGAGCCACATTTCATTGATTAATCGGAAGTGACTGGAGGTGTGTCATCCAATTGGTCTTCAGAGATAAGCGACGGGGGCGACTGCATGCGTCACAACCCGTTTAAAATTGCATGTAACACACATATGCAACTGAGTTGCATGTCTCCTACACACAATTTGCTCGACCTTATATCTTGATGGCTAAGATTGGAAATATTTTTTTTAATATGGATTTTGAAATAATCCTGCCAATTTAACGCTGAGGGGATATTTTAAATAAAAAGCAAGGTCGAAGATTGCATAGCTCTAAAAACTGCAGTTGCATACTCTTGTGGTATGGACAAGATATACATACCTTTTTTTTTTTACCAAGAAACACACCTGAACATGTAAAATGTGTAAAAAGACATTGGAAACAAAACAAAGGGATAAGGTGATTTGGCCATTCAGATAGAAATTGCTACAAAGGAGGTACTCCATCACATTACTATTATGTCTATTGGCACAGCCAGTCTCGACGGCAGTAGGAGCTAAAGGCTAATCTAGGAAGTGCTATTTATTTCTCTAGTGACGCCCAGGATCATCCCTTTCGTGCATGCCACGTCTCCTTCGACGCAAAATACTAATAAAATGATGAAAAAATAAATATATGTTGAGTTCCCGTTATAGCTTGCTCAACAAAGAGTAATTTAGTTGTACCCGCCACCTCCAGATCCGGATCCACTGCCTCCACCACTACCGCTTCCTCCATTAATGCTACCACCATTGCCACCACCCATGCCGCCACCCATTCCGGTGGCATAACCTGTGCCATTTGAGCCAGTACTACCGGTTTGTCCCGCGCCAGACCCAGTGCCAGACCCGACTCCAACGCTTGGACCTTCGGCGCCGCCTCCAGCTGTGCCACCACCGTTGCCGCTTCCTCCTCCATTCGCAAAGCCCCCAGAAGTATCATCGTTGCCAGCCTGTCCTGCACCAGCACCGGCACCACCACCATTTCCATTGTTACCGCCACCACCACCGTTACCACTACCACCAGCATCAGAGTAGCTGGTACCATCACCACCACCAGCAGGAGCGGGTGCCTTTGATATGCCACTCTCACCATATCCCTTGCCAAGGCCAAAGCCAGCTCCGGATCCGGTAGACCCATCTGCACCGCCACCTTCACCCCCACCACCACCCTTACCATCAGCATTGGCATATCCATTGCCACTAGGAGCTGATGCGGAGCCACTCGCACCGCTGCCGGTGCCGGATCCGGATCCAGAGCCAGACCCGTATCCACCATTTGATCCTCCGCCACCCCCAGCTCCTCCTCCTTCACCAGCTCCCCTGGCGAAGTTCCACTTGTTACCCCAATCCCCTCCGCTTTCACTATATCCTGAGCCTCCACCTGATCCAGACCCTCCACCCCATCCACTCCCACCAGACCCACCGCCACCGCCTCCACCTCCCCCGCCACCTCCACCACCCGAAGCACTGGAGGTGCTAGCGAGCATCCTTGCAGCATCGGCAAACCCAATGCTCACAAGGACAACAAAGCCAAGAGCTACAAGCTTGGTACTAGTAGCCATTGTGAGTGAGCTCGGTGGAGTGAGACGAGTTGGGTGCTGAGCAGAGATGGGTGGGTAGATATATATAGTGCTGGGGCCCGTGTATGGGTGCGATATCTTACGGCGATCGAGCGCTCCTGGTTGTGTATTCAGTGGGTTATTCGATGAGAAGTTTTCTATAACCAGAGTGTCAGTATACCGTTGACTGTGTATGTCGATCTAGCTAGCCGCAGACAGCATGTACACCAGTCGGTTATTTTGTTGATGCAGATGAAGTAGTATGGAAGAGAGGGCCTAGTTGATTAGCAAGAGAGATTTCCATCGCCTGACACAGACAGATTAATTATATCTCTTCGATGCCCTAGACATGAAAGAACGCGTAAGTTGATGATCGATCCAAGCGGCGCATCAAGGTGAAGGCCTGTGGATCCGTACGATCTAGGCGATACGTTCAGACTGGACTCGGATCCTTTGACATTGGCATTTCCTCCTAATCTCACCCTGCCCTAGGGCCATTATCAACACGGAACATCAGATGAAAGGAAAAACGAGAATGGGTGACGTGCACAGAGTACTGGTGTTTTTATCCGTACGGTACGTAGGTAGAATGAACCGCAAAGAAGTACCGTCCCTCACAGAATAGAGGGCGTACGTAGAGTAGTAGTTAATCCACGGTGATTTGGTTAATGTATATGCCCGAGATCATCTTAGTTACGTTTACAATGGACCGTGTAAACCGGTGCGAGAATGTGCTAGCTAGCTACTCCCTCTGTTCCTAAATCAAACTGCCAAAATGTTTTATATTTAAAAACATTGGAAGAGGGAGTACATGCTATCTCTCGCGGTCTTCGTCGATGCAATTCGGGCGCAAGATCGAGCGAGCTAGCCAGCTTAGCTGCTCGCGCCGTTTCATCCTTGGCAGCTACTCCGAGATAAGTTAATCTTCTGGTAAACGACGAGGCAGAGTGTGTTGATTTGGATTAATTGGAGTCGTAGCTACTTGCGCCGAAACACCGCGGCGGCGACCTAGGGTTTAACGCGTCGCCGGTGTCCACAACTTTGACCGAGTAACGCAGACCAGTCTTGTGATAGTTATGGCGACGCCAACAACGAGAGATGTCGATCGGTGAAAATTACACTGTCCAACAGCTGACCTTGGGAGCGCACTCGATTATCCAGCTGCACCCCAAAACGATCGTCGGCAGAAACGAGAAGAGTGAGACGACTTTTTTTCCAGCAAAAGTGAGGCCCGGAAGATGCCAATGGAGGCCGAGCTCCACGAAGCTCGTTTTCAAAATATAATATTCTACAACGTGAAAAAGATCGTGAACATACATACACATGTATACTGCATATATATGTGCAAATTTTCATAACAATATAATTTGGGAAACGTTCACGCACGGTGCGCCGGCGGAACGCTTAGGCCGGTTACTTCACCATGCTGGCATTGGCCATCAGGAAGGAAACACGTGTACCTTATCCTCTCTCCAACGCCCACATCCACTCATTCTTTCTCGCGGCCGTGACCTCGCTTTCCCCATCGCTTTCCGCCTCGCCTTCCTCGCCATAGCACCAGGCAGCTCCGAGCACTCCTCCCTTCGCACCTCAGGCTCATCTTCTCCATGGGGCTACTGCTCCCATGCGCCATAGCCTGCGAGCCCAAGGTCAGGGCGGACATGGCTTATGAGCTCGGGGCGGACTGCAGCTGGGGCTCCTACGAGCTGCTATGGGCGCCATGGCTTATGAGCTCGGGGGCAGGCGACAGGGGAGACTGCGAGCTGTTATGGGCGACGCCGTTGAGCATTTGCTACTGGGAGAATCTCACCGGAGCTGCGAGCACCAAGCGACACCTCCCATGTTAGAACTGGTGTTCAAGGAAGCTACCACAGGCGCCGCAAAAAGCTTCAACTGGTGACGCCAAATGCTGGGACCTCTCAGTACCATCGCAAAAAGCTACAACCGGCGTCGCACGAAGCTTCAACCACGACGACATATGTCAGGGCTGGCTACTGTTAATACCAAAAAAGCTGTAATCGTTGTCGCTTTTGCTACTACCGGCGTCGTTGTTTGCTACATACTTCACGGCTTAGCTGCGACGTGCGGTGACGACGACGATCAACAAGCTGTATGTTTTTGCTGGAACGAAGACTATGTGTGCTACAACCGGCTATGGCAGAGTTACCACCGGTGATTTTTTTGCTAGAACCATGTACGGATTAGCCGTGACCTCGGCCGGGAGCTGCAATAGTTGATGTTTCTGCTACTACCGGCGTCATTGTTTGCTACATGCTTTACGACTTAGCTGTGATGTTCGACGACGATGGCGACGTTTTTGCTACAATCGCCGCTGGATTTTGCTTCATCCGTTCGTGGATTAGCTGCAACCCCGCGACAGCCGCGACGGCGGTTCGTTGCAACTGTGCTTTGGTTTTTCTACCATCGGCGAAGATTTTTGCTACATCCATCCATTTGCTATGACGGTGCTTCAAACACGATGATGAGCAGCGCGAGATGCTGGTGGGGGTTTGTTGGGGAACGTAGTAATTTCGAAATTTTCCTACGCACACGCAAGATCATGGAGATGCATAGCAACGAGAGGGAAGAGTATCGTCCACGTATCCTCGTAGACCGTAAGCGGAAGCGTTATGAGAACGCGGTTGATGTAGTCGTACATCTTCATGATCCGACCGATCCAAGTACCGAACGTACGACACCTCCGAGTTCAGCACACATTTAGCTCGATGACGTCCCACGAACTCCGATCCAGCAGAGCTTCACAGGAGAGTTCCGTCAGCACGACGGCGTGATGACGGTGATGATGTTGCTATCGACGCAGGGCTTCGCCTAAGCACCGCTATGATATAATCGAGGTGGATTATGGTGGAGGGGGGCAGATCACACGGCTTGGAACAATCAACTTGTGTGTTCTAAGGTGCCCCCTGTCCCCGTATATAAAGGAGCAAGGGGGAAGACCGGCCGGCCCTCCTAGCGCGCGCCAGGAGGAGGAGTCCTCCTCCTAGTAGGAGTAGGACTCCCCTTTCCTACTCCAACTAGGAGGAGGAAAGGAAGGGGGAAGGGGAGAAGGAAGGAGAGGGAGGAAAGGAGGAAAGGGGGCCCGCCCCCCTAGTCCAATGCGGTTTGGGCTAGGGGGGGCACACGCCCTGCCTCCTCTCTTCCACCACTTGGCCCATGAGGCCCAATACTTCTTCCCCGTATTCCCGTAACTCCCCGATACTCCGAAAAATACCCGAATCACTCAGAACCTTTCCAATGTCCGAATATAGTCGTCCAATATACCGATCTTTACGTCTCAAACATTTCGAGACTCCTCGTCATGTCCCTGATCTCATCTGGGACTCCGAACTACATTCGATACATCAAATCACATAAACTCATAATACCGATCGTCACTGAACTTTAAGCGTGCGGACCGTACGGGTTTGAGAACTATCTAGACATGACCGAGACACGTCTCTGGTCAATAACCAATAGCGGAACCTGGATGTTCATATTGGCTCATACATATTCTACGAAGATCTTTATCGGTTGTCGGGTGGTAGGTGCGACATATGCCAACGGGTGGCTTATCATTGTGGGAGCCAGTAAGACGTCACCGGTGCCTGGAAGCGGGATGAGGCGAAGACATGCACGCCGGCGAATCTTACCCAGCTTCGGGGCTCTCCGTGGAGATAACACCCCTACTGCTGCTCTGCGGGGTCTCCGCATGATCACTAGATGAACAAGTAGCTACACGATGCTCCTTGAGCTGTTTGGTGAGAAGAAGAAGAAGGGCACGACTAGCTCTCCTCCCCTCTCTATATGGTGTCTAGAACTAGCTTGGATCCACCACCTTGCATGGGTGCCCCGGGGGGTTTATATAGGCCTACCCCCCGGGGGTACGATGGTAATCCGGCTGGGCGTGGGGCCCAGCCATTTGTGTCTACTCTCGCCGGCTTCTGTGCTGGTTGCTGGGGCCCGCCAGCTGGTGGGTCCCGCTGGCTGCCGGCTCCTTGGTCGACAGGCAGGCCCCACTGTCCAGGGCCTTGTTGGTGGCTGGTTACTGTTGCTCAATCCTGGTGACGAGGGCTTCACCGAGGTGGGCGTGGCTACAGTGCCGCCGTCCGCCGGGTGATCGCTATAGCCTCACCGCGTCTTGTCTCCTTAATGGGGCGTCTCCTTCGAGGGAGGAGGCGAGCCGACTGCGGGGAGCCGGCCCCGTCTCGGGCCGACTTGGGGAGGCCTGGCCGCCTTCGGGCGTCTCTCTGCCTGAAGGGGCCCACCGCCCGTGGGCCGCGCTCGCAGCCTGTCGTGGATGACATCAGGGTCAACATGGCAACAGTGTCGCGCCGGACGGGTCATGGCCACCCCGTACGACGCACTGTGCCAGGCGTGCTCTGGGATTCGGGGGTGGCAGGCTTTACTGCAGCCACGCCCCGTCACATCGCCGTTATGTGGATGCAGACTTCGAGGGTACGATCTTGACCGCTTTGTGGGAGCCGACTTCTTGGAGTCGGCCTTCTCGCGGTCGGCTTCTTAGAGCCGGCCCTCCCACGGCTTTCTTCATGAGGGATAAAGTCGGGCCGCCCTTCGTTAGTCGGCCTGGGAGACAGCCGGCTAGGGGAAGGCGGCCCCACGTCTTGGATTCTTGAGGGCCGGATCGGCTCGTAATTTTTTCAGAAGGGCCAGGGGGAGCCGGCTAGGCTACCCGTGGTCATTTACTCCGATAGTAGTCCCCAAAGCTGATCGAGCTTCGAGATTGACAGGGGGACGAGAAGCTTGGTCAGCTTCCTATCCCGAGGGGCCGGCTTTGCTTGTGCGCGCCGTCTTCGGAAAGCTCTGTTTCTCGTAGGTGGGAACGCGGGTCGGCCTGCGAGCTGACCGCGCGCCATCCTGCGGGCCACGTGGCAAGGAAATCCTGCCAACGCACGCGCGCGACGGGACGCCGCCGTAGGCCCGGGCCCGCCACTCCTAAGCCTCGGCCCGAGCGTGGATCTTCTGCGGCCCTCATGGACCGCTCA